ATCCAGTTTCGATTTTGTCGTCTTCCATTTGGGTTACGCCCTTCTCCAAGCATCCTTGGCGCTACAATAAGGAAACATTTGGAAGGGTACGTTGCACGTTTTCCAAAAACTGTAGAAGTTTTAGGCCGTTTGTTTGTGGACGATTTATCGTGCAGTACCAAAACATCGGACAGCGCCTTGGATATTGCTCGCACGTCTAAAACAATATTGGCTGAAGGGGCTTTTAATTTGCGGAAATTTAATTCTAACTCAGCAGAATTGCGAAAACAACTAACAGTTGAGTTAGAATGTGAGAGTAATTCCAAATCCAAGACGACAATGGGCAAAGAAATAGAACAGAATGAAACTCAATTACAAGAGGAAGATTCTTCGTTTGCCCACACAATGGTAGGTATTCATACTACTAATAAGATTTTAGGCATAAATTGGGACAATGATTCTGACGAATTGTATTTCCAGTTTAATGATGTTATTTCTTACGGAAAAAGTTTGCCTGTAACAAAACGTTCACTTTTGAAGTTATGTGCAAAATTGTTTGATCCATTAGGTGCACTTAGTCCATTCATCGTGCGAATGAAGGTAGCCTTTCAAACACTTTGTTTAGAAGGAATAAACTGGGATGAAGGTTTGCAGGGGGGTGCACGTTTTCAGTTTTATTCCTTCCTAAGGGAGCTAGAAAGCCTATCCTCAGTTCGTATTCCCAGGTGTTATTTTAACAAGACAGAAATAAGTAATATAGAATTACATGGATTTTCTGATGCTAGCGAACAGGCTTACGGTTGTGTAATTTATATCAGGATAGAGTATGAAGACGGTACTCTGGTAACTCGTTTTGTAACATCTAAGGCAAAGGTAGCACCCTTGTCACGTCAAACAATTCCAAGGCTGGAATTAATGGGTGCTCATTTATTAGCTCAACACATTAGTAACGTGAAGGAAGTCCTTTCAGAGGAGTTGGGTATGAACTCCTTCACTACAACATTATGGGTGGATTCGTACACGGTTTTGTGCTGGATTTGTAACGATAAACCGTGGAAACAATTCGTAAGAAATAGGGTACAACAAATAAATCGTTTAACTGATAAGAGTCAATGGCGTCATTGTCCAGGAGTCCAAAATCCGGCTGATTTACCCTCCCGGGGGTTGGGCGGGAAGGACCTTGCCCAGAATCGTCTTTGGTGGGAGGGACCAGAATTTTTAAAATTACCCGCTAGTGAATGGCCAGATAATATGGTAAACAATTGCAGTGAAGAATACGAAGCGTATCGTGAAGTCGTAAAAAACCCACCAGAAGTAACCTACACGCTTGCAGTCAAAGGGTCGAATAATGATAAGAATGTCCGTGCTGCCAAGGTCAAGGTCCCAAATAGGAAGGGTACATCTATTTTAACCAGGTCGTTAAAACATCTTATCCCGCTAGAAGTTCAACTTAGTGAATGTAGTTCAGAAAATAAAACTGATAGTACTAGGTTAGAAACTGTACCAGACAAAGACCAAGCAGAGATTAGTGTATCTAGTAGAAAGGCAAAAAGAAACGCTGCTATAATCGGAGAAATTAGAAGAAGAGACGATTGTTATTAATTATTGGAAATTCATTATAATGCTATTGTTCTGTTTTGTTGAAATTAATTATATCTTGTTGAATTACAAGTATTCAACCGGGGGAGTGTGTTAGAATTATGAAGCGTACCCCCGTGCGCCGAAATTATATCATGCCTTTAATTAGATTTGAGAGTAACCACGTGTGAATATCTCAACAGTGAGCATCGTGCTAAGGACTCGTCATGGAGGTTTCATGAGGGTAGACGAGAGAGTCATAGTTTAGGAAAGAAAAGTGTAACCGTATTCTCTAAGTATTATATATAAGAAGTTGTTTTGTTGTGTTATCAAAAAATCGTCAAAATTCAATTCTTGCCCTCTTTATCGTGAAATCCTGAAATAATGGAAGCTTACAACAAATTGGCAACCAGAATTGGCAAATAAAAGCAGATATTAAAAAAATACCTTAGAATTTGGCACTATTTCTCGGATATATAAAGTAGATTTCCAGGACAGATCGATATCAGTCAATCGCACAAACACGTGGCCAATTGGAGTTAGATCGTTCTGTCTTTTTGCATCGTAACATGTTATCATCAAACACTGCTCTTTGACTAAACTTCTCTTAACAGGGATGTAGGCAGCAGAATGTGGTTTAAGCACGCGCTGCCTCTGCTTCTGATTAAGCAAGCAAACTTTCACTTCTAATTCTAAGTCCCACGTAGTTCCTATTGCCGCCGGGGTTGGCTTCGCCGTCAGATCCACGTTTTGCAATCTAACAAAAACCAACTCATCCTCTTGCGAAAACCAAACTTCAATAGATACGTAGCCAATCGCCTTTCTATTTATAACTGTTCCGAAAACCTCAAGTGATCTTGATTTACTTTTCAGCAAGTTTCCGGGCATTGTCTGGCACTGGGCAGCAGTTTCTAGTCGTCGTGGCATAAGGGGGCTATCATGGTAACTTTGGGGTATGGTGAAAGGCGCCGGGTCTACGAATCAAAATGTGACAGCGTTTAAAAAGGAATGAGTGAAATCAGGCATCCTATCTGATTTTTGTGAGAAACCTGTCTTAATCTTGTACAAGATTTTAGTTTCGTTTACAAACTGTGTCAAATATGCTCTGTGAATTGACTTGCAGTAAATAACACCAGTTTCCGTCCAGTCACTACACCTTAAAGAACCTCTAAGATCAATATTCCTGAAAATGGTTTCCTGGGCCAACTGCTTTGCTTCTAGTGCACCAAGAGCCCCCTAACGTAAAAAGTGCGTTGCCCAAGATCACCCAACCAAACAACTAACCAGAGGGTACTTGAGACATGTAGTTATGTCGACTCGTGTCTCGTATTTTGGAACCATGTATCTAGCTTTTCATCTTATAGAAAAAAGCAAGAGGCCATTGCTTAAAATGAAGACGTTCAACTGGTGCTGGGTGGGCAATTTCTATCTGTTAGAATATAATAAAGGCCCTAGCATCAAGATAGCATGGCCAGAAAAAACTCTCTTACTTGCTTAGCTTCCAGTTCTCCAAGTTCCTAGCTTCATAACAAGAATGGTAGCAAATGGCACAATGCATCAATTCTAGTCCAGAGGCTGGAGGGGGGGGGGGCTATTGTCACCCGAGAATTTACCACACCAACTTTTTCTGATGTAGTTACAGGCGTAGATTACGAATTTAAATGTTGATCAAGTGTTTAAGGGGGCGTTTCCTAGAAACAGGGGGCCAAATCTTAAACAAAAATTCTCTTTTAAAAAAGGCGTTTTCTGGCATTCAAAAGGGGTTTGACCACCAATTTTCCCTTGCGCAACTCGTCTTTGCCCCCTCCCCAAAATCTTGCAACCCTGGCTACGCTTCTGGGCATTTGATAAAGTAAACCATTAAGAAATGTTTGGAGTTTTCGAAGCATTAGAGATTAATGGAAAAGATCTACAACGGATGTGGAACCTTTATTGGGAACAGAGTGGTGCAGCCATTAGTTGACATCAGTTATGAGAGGTGTAAGACAAGGATATTTGTTATCCCCACATCTTTTTAATCTATACAGTGAAGTCAATCTGAGGGAGATAGAGAATATGCCAGGTGTGAAACTTAATGCTGTCAATAATAACAACTTTGGATATGCGAATGACACTGTACAAGTTGTGGAAAATGAAGCAGCCCTGAATAAGGTTGTATCAAAAAATGAAAAAAAGTCTTCAAATTAATGTAAAAAACACCGAATGTTTGTTTATATCAACGGAAAAAACAAATGTTCCTTTACGTAGCAATAACTAAGGTTTTGAAGTTTACCTATGTAGGCAGCTTGATAACATTAGATGGAAAGTGTGTAACTTAAATCGAGAAAAGAGTTGGGATTGCAAAGGAGGTTTTCGACAAGATGAATGCTCAGTTTTACTCTATGGACAATTAGTGAAAACTTGGACAATTAATGAAAGCATGGAAGAAGTTTTAAATCAATTGAAATGTGATTTAACTTTACATACCAATTTTACTGACAGAGTTCTTAATGAAGAAGTTTTAAGAAGAGCAGGAGTAGAAAGAAGCCTGATGAAGGTTATAAGGTAAAGACAACTGCAAATCTTTGGACATGTAGATAGAGACGGGTGAAAAACCACGATCGCCAACATCCTGGAGGAACAAGACCCCTAGAAGAAGAAGAAGGCGCATACTTAATCGTAAAATGATCCATCTTCGAGCTATACTCTTTTCTATAAGAACCAGTAAATTGATGTTCAGGCTGGCTGTTCTAGAGTTTTTCGAAAATTTGTGGCTGGTTTGTTCTTAATTTGTTCTTAAATGTTATGGTATAAGCAGTGCAACTGCTAATAGCGTGTTCAAGCCTTTTTTGCCAACAAACTGTTCAAAGAGAAATACTAGGTATCCTATTAGCTGTTGCCAGTGCAAAGGGGTATCGGGGAAAGAGGGAAACAGATAGCTTTGTCCAAATCAATTCGACGATTCTCTTTGCAAGATGCAGTGCTGATACAAGCAAATTGCAAATCCATTCTGGCTAGATAAAATAATGGTTTACCTGAAGCAAGATCTTTTAAAAATTAGCAGCTTGCATAACGCTTTCTTTCGGTTTTATAATATCTCTAGCTCAAAGACATTTCTGTGGGCTTTTAGATACTTTGTCAACATCGGTAAGGGAAAGAAGCGTATTCACAACTTTTCATTGAAATGCCATATTCAGGACCCACTTTTTGTAAGTGCAATTATGTTGTGTGAAGTCTTTGATTCCATCTGAAAGCGATGTGATCATTTTATTTATATATAGGTTTTTCATACTTTCACTTAGCTTAGATTCTTATGGGCTTTCTATGCGGTTAATAACGACATGTCGAATCCAATTAAAATCGTAAATGTTATAAATGTTATATCGCATGAAACTTTTTCCCAGCATCATCATATTTGCCAGTGCTAACAAGGTTGCGACACAAGGAGAGCTATTTCTTTTGCGGCTCTTCCCTAACTCCAGGATGTGTTCCGTCAAGATTTTGCAACTGTCGGCAATAACACGAGCTATATCGTGCATAATTCTGCTCATTCGTTGTGAAGAAAAATGGAAGCGATTTATTCCAACATTGCACGGTTTACATCTGAATAATTTAAGAGCAAATTAAGAACAATCCAGCTGCATATCTTCGAAATAAATGGCCAGCCTGAACTTAAACTTACTGGTTCTTATAAAAAAGAATGCAGCTCAAAGATGGATCATTTTACGATACGGTGTAGGCCTAAGGAAGTTCAAGACAAATGGCGATATCATTTTCATTGATGAAGAAAATGATGAAGAATTTTATCTTTTAGCTCCTATTTGTTCTGTCTTTACAGGGAAACCACATATCATTTGGAGACCTTTTAAGGCTAGCAGATTTATTGAAAATACATTCTAGTCACATTTCCTAGAAAAATGTTTGAAAAATGCAAATTTTGTAGGTTTTTCTTCCGACAAGATGAAATGTTGAAAGTTCATAGGCCCCCCAAAATAGGAACCGGTTTTATAATGACAAATATCGCTGATATAGAGCTAATTATAAGCAATATTATGTTTTAACTGATATCAAAATTACAACAAGCAGTCAATTGCTGAAAGGAGAATTACCCTAATTTTTGGGGCTGACACCCTGTTTCTCGGGAACGCCCCCTCAAACACTTGATCAACACTCAAATTCGTAATCCATGCCCAAAACTACATCAGAAAAAGTTGATGTGATGAATTTTCCGCTCGGTTGGCAATAGCCTCCCTCTAGCCTCGGAACTATTCCAGATCTGGCAGTCAGTCAAGTTTTTACTGCCTATTTAACGATTAGCATAGTGCTCAAGTTTAGTGCCAAGATTAATGCCAATAAAGAGCAAATACAACATTATAAAGCAAGAAAATTTAAGGGCTAAAAATATAAGAAGGTTATTTTGGCTCAGTTCTTAAAGCAGCCACTTGTATGATATCTAGTTGATTTGATGAAAAACAAATCACCTCGTCGGCTGATCACCGGGCTAGTTGCTGTCGCTCTCTCCATAGGCATGCTCTTCTGCAAAAAAAGACAACGTTCAGAAAGGTTTCAAGGGCAGGAAAGAGTGCTTAAATTTGCAAAGGTTTCGAAACTGAATAACGCAAGTAAGGTGAAGCTCGCAGTTACTTGATGTCATGATATTTTCCTGTTTGATAATGAATAAAAAACGCTGAAGGCTGGGAGGAGAGAAGCTAACCACCCTACCTGATCATGCTGTCACAGAATCACAGACAGAATACTGTTGGCGTAGGACAAGTACCCTCTCTAGCCCGAACTTCCTTAACGACAGGACTGAAAACGGACTCAGCTTTACCTAGACCTTTACCTGTAAGTAGATCGAGCTAAATGCACTTCTCAAATAGGGATCCACTTCAGCTTACTTAGCTGCCAGGAAATTGACCTCCTGATAAAATAAATTTTTCTGCACGCTTGTATGCAAATTGTCCCCTAGAAGAGATATTTCACCTTTCGCAGCAAAGTTGACATAATTTCAAAAGCACGTCAAACCTTAAGTTTAGATGAAAACAAGAGATGAAATCAAGATCTGAAGTTCGTAGAAATAGAAGCTTGCAACGTGAATCATGCTACCAGTATTATTCATAATCTGATCTAATCAACAGGGTTTTATTTACTCAGATCAGAAAGGATTCTATTAAAATAGCGTTATGGCTTTGTGGGCAGTTCAGCCACTTGCTGTGTTTTGTGAACTGCAAGTAGAGTGATCCAGATATGTGGTTTTGATTGATTGTGACGTAACACCACAAACATGATCGATTTCATAGAAACAATGGCTTTCAACAAAATTTCAAGCTCAAAGTTTAATGTTACAGGCATATGCGTATAGGGTAAGGACTAGTCCGTAACGTCAATAGGCAAACAACAGATACCTAAATCATTTGAAATTTCTAATCACACTGAAACAAAATGCTTATTCAAACTCGCCCATCCTTCTGATGTCGCCCATTCTGAAGAACTTAATTTTGAAAAGAACTAGTTAATGTGCCAAAATGTTTTTCTCGCAAAACAGCAGCGTCACACACCACAAAAAGTCTTACTCATTGTGCACTATGATACGCCTTCATTTATTGTCACATAAAGAAATCAAAATTTGATCAACTAAAATGGAGCCTTCCGCCTTCTCTCTATTGAATAATAAAGAAATTAAAAAACTTGCAAGAATAATATGCGGAAACAAGGAAACTGACCGTTCCAGACCTGCTAAAACAAGCAAGGTGATCATTCGAGAACAATTTTTAAGCGATCAGTGATGTGCAGAAACAAGCAAAGTGATCGTTAGAGATCAATTCCTAAGGGTTCAGTGATGTGCTGAAACAAGCAAAGTGATCGTTAGAGATCAATTCCTAAGTGTTCAGTGATGTGCTGAAACAAGCAAAGTGATCGTTCGAGATCAATTCCTAAGTGTTCAGTGATGTGCTGAAACAAGCAAAGTGATCGTTCGAGATCAATTCCTAAGTGTTCAGTGATGTGCTGAAACAAGCAAAGTGATCGTTCGAGATCAATTCCTAAGTGTTCAGTGATGTGCTGAAACAAGCAAAGTGATCGTTAGAGATCAATTCCTAAGTGTTCAGTGATGTGCTGAAACAAGTAAAGTGATCGTTCGAGATCAATTCCTAAGTGTTCAGTGATGTGCTGAAACAAGCAAAGTGATCGTTCGAGATCATTTTTTAAGTTATCAGTGATGTGCTGAAACAAGCAAGGTGATCGTTCGAGATCAATTGTTAAGTGATAGGTGTCATGCTGAAACAAGCAAAGTGATCGTTCGAGAATATCGTTGAAATTCTTTTTCCATCCCACTGTAAGTCAGTTCTAAAAAAGTGCATGGCTCAAAGGCTATGTAGGGCTCTTTTTTTGCGTCCTCCTGGGCCAAAGTATTTACTAGATACATAAAGTTAGCCATGTTTCAAGGATAGAGCAGTAATTTTCTTCACTCCATTTTGAATGTTCCGTTGATACGTACTATTAAAGCAAGCTGATGAAAATTGAAATGAAATTAGGCAAAAAATACAATGCAAAATGACCATCTTATATCATGGTGTTAGTCCCATGATTTCAAGCCTATTCTTATATGAATGCTTCGTTCATATTGCATAGCTTATGTAAAATTGTTTCAGTCAGCTTCACTGACCTGAACTTACCGATAACATTTCATTTTTTACATGGAAAGAAATTTATCTGCCCTGTTCAACCAGTCAGACACTAGTATTTATTCAGGCTAACTGGCTACACAAATCCAACAACACGTCGTCTGCATCAGTGCAATCTCAACCATTCTAGAACAATTTGTTCGTCTAATAGGACAAAACAAGGTAAAATATAACCAGCTTTAAGGAAATTAATTTTTCATGTGGCAAAAACGGCCAACAAAAACATTCTTCATGTGGCAGAACAAAAAACTTGAACTGTTACTATTGTTATGTTAGGCAATGCTGGCAATCGATATTCATGGTACCTTTAGTCCTTGGGAGCAACAATCATTAGCAATTCTATCAAGCTGACTTGCTTTCTTCAAACAGGGTCTACAACTCACATTTATTTATAAGATTAAACACATAGTCAATACTATCATTATCAACCCATTAACAAAACTGATAATTTCGGATTAGTGAAAGTTCTAATTCGTAGTTCGAAATTTGATTCACTGTATTGAAGAACGATCTTCTAGAAAAGTAAACTGAACGTCATAATTTCGAAACCTCAAAAAATTTTCGGACACGCCCTTTTCAGCCCTCCCACATTTAGACTGGTGCGCGGTTCCTGCATACAACCTTACCGTTACATATCGAACCTAACAAAGAGTTTGCTGTTAAGCTTAGCATTCCAAAGAAATATACACGGTGCAAATTATTAATTGGACAGGTCTTTTTTTTAAAAAAAGGTTTTCATAAAACAGAACTAACAAGATCGGAATTTAAAAGTTTTTCTTTGTTTTACATAGAGTGTTGTTTCACAGAATTAGTTAACAAACAAGCCGAGCCCCCGCGACCAGGCAACTAGTCATCAAGGGAGGCTTATTCTCTCCCTTAAACAGGGCCATGCCCCCACTCTTTTTCGAAGCAAGTAGCTTTAAAGCTATAATATAAGGGGTAAGAATCCCTGGCCTCTACATTTCTAGCCTTGCCCCCCCCCCCATTTTCAAATTCGTGTTATATCATTCTTAAACATATCCAAAATGAAAACAGCGGTTTGAAGATCTAGAAGAAAACCATGCAGAGATGAAATTCCTGCTCGACTTTCTGTAACTTGACATACCAGTTATCTCTCCATAACAGATCCAACACGCCAAAGCAAGTCTGTGTCCTTTTCCTTTGCTGCAAACATTTTGAAGAAAAATGAGAGCAAAATCTCTCACAACCAGCCGATTCGAAAATGTTCCCAAAGGAGCCATCATAAAATTAGCATTGGATGTTCTTTCTTATTTTTTCATATAATTTTAAAAGAAAACATTTGCTGGTCATCTATGATATTAGAAAAAAGGCCTTTTGGAAGGGGGGTGGGGGGAGATTGAAAAGCAAATACGTGTGTTTTTCTACAAAACACAATATTTTTCAGATAAGCAGCCACTGTCACACCTTATTTTGATAAACAATTCTTTTTTCTAAAACCTTATCTGCCGAACTCAACCATGACTCATCATGCTGACGGATTTTAGGCCCTGTTCCCACTTACAAGTTCACACAAAATACTACATAATTCAAAACTCTGATGGAAACCTGATTTTTTAAAAGCAAGTGGATATCATTATTGATATTTTTATTTTTGTAAAAGAAACCAGTACTGAATAAATTATACATAAAAGGTTCACTGACCCAATCCGATACAAATATCATAGTTGTCGAAAGGGTACCAGATTCAGCTTCAACTTCTGTTCGCACGGCGACAATACCCTCTTCACAGCATAGCAAGAAGCAAATTCAAAATAGGGTGGTTTCACTTCGTCGTGCGCACTCGATGCCTATCCGGTATGAACAGTAATCTCATAGGCAACAAATCCGGTATGAACTTTCGCAATGACGGTATGAACTTTCGCAATGACGTAAATGAGCATATGAAAGCAGTGCTGCCACGCACAATATAATATTTCCACCTACCTCCTTACAAATCTCTACCTACGCACAGCCTACGCACCAAGTCAATTTTTACCCACAATTCCCTACGAATTTTGAAAAACCTACTTTCTACCTACGGAAAGCCTTCGGCGGTGTCTACTTTCCAATGCTGTCGCTAGATTTTTGTGATTGGGGCATTGCATGATAAGAAAGACAGATAAACCATCAATTTTATATTTTTATATTTGAATCCTATTGTTCTATAGCTGTATTTTAAATCTCTCAGGTAGGGCAAACCAGCGAAAAATTCATGGTATATGGAGGTTCTTCCATTTTTGGTTGCAAAAATTCTCTAGAATAGAGAAACAATACTTTTAGAACTAACTTTTGCACTTCCGCATATTTTTCGCACATTTTCTAGTTGTAGTTACCCTGGCCTACAGCTCACCTGCACTTTCTGAAAAAATCTACCTACAAATTTCGAAAAAATACCTACATTTCAAGATGTATACCGTAGGTTTTCCCTACAACCTACAAACCCTCAAAATCCCTACTGTAAGTAGAAATCCTCACGTGTGGCAGCACTGTATGAAAGCGAGGCGCATTATTCAAAACGAGAAAAACTGATGTTCCGACCACTGATCTCTATAAAAGACTGGATCGAGCTTCTAATTGCTTGACCCTCATCAGAACCGAGGCTCGCCAATTTTGATTAGTGATGTGCTGACTGCTGAAATGAGTGCTTACTGATTTTAATCGAAAGTTTAATCGAAAATGGGTAGTGTGAAAAAGAGATTGTTAGCGAATGGTAGGAAGAAAAAAGAGCGATCTCTTGGAAGAGAGTATGCATGCAACACTGATGGTACACCAAAGCGGCCTATATTTTTTCCACTCCCACAAAAAAAACCAGAAAAAGCTCGGTTGGTGCCACTTGGTAGAAAGAGTTGATGG